GGCAGGAGAATCGCTTGAACTCGGGAGGCAGAGGTTGCAGTGAGTCGAGATTGCACCACTGCCCTCTAGCCTGGGTGACAAAGTTAAACTCCATCTAAAAAGAAAGAAAAAGAAAAGCTAAGCATGGGCTTAATTTCTCTGAGGTTTAAAGCTGCAAAGAGTTACTCTTCATGAAGTAGGTGGGATCCCAGCTGGGCCATGAAATGTGAGTGGGGTTTGGTCAGCTGGTGGAAGTTGAAGGAAAATTATTTATGTAGGTGACAGGTAAACACAATCAGGTATCTAGGAAAGAGAATGAGAGATTCAGAGTGTAGGAGACTAGTTGGAGCTATAACACAAGGATGATAGGATTCATGTTGTAGGATTGTAGGAAATAGTGCTGGCGTAATATCTTCTACTCAAACAGTTCTGTGGATTGGTGACAGATCTTTTTTTTTCTTTTTTCTGGTAAGTCAACTATTATGCCTGGATATTCATCTATCTATGTAACCGATTGAGAAACAGGGGAGTAACAGTAAAGAAACTGTCTTAGAATAAATCTGGTGGCAGCAGAAGAGAATATGAGACACATTGTCCTCACAGAGCTTGAAGAGTGTGACGATGATTTGAGGGCAACGCTGTTGTCTTAGAGTGAAGTGAGGAGAACCTACATTGGTTTGGTACTCATGGGGATGGAAGGAGGAATGAAATGTGAAAGCCCATTGGCGGCAGAATCAAAATGGCTTGGTCTTTGTAGTCCACTATTAAGTAAGGAGGAGGAATTATTGGCTGACTTAGGAAGAAGTAAAAAATGTGAAATATCAACAAAACACAAAGCTTGCTATTTTAGTCAGGGTAAAACTTAAGCATTGTGTGATTCTAGATAGATTATTGAGCAGTCTTGTTCCATGTATTTTATATCCCATATCTTCTAGCTATGACCCTATTTCTTTATTTCTTCACATAGCCAAACATTTTTCAGACTGACAGCTTTATTGTGACACAGTTTTTATGTGATAAGCCTAACCCTTCAAGTGTACAGTTCAGTGGTTTTTAGTATATTCAGATTTATGCAACCATTACCACTACCAAATTTCAGAACATTTTCATCTCCCTAAAAAGAAACCCCGTACCCATCAGTAGTCATGTACCTGTCTCCCCCACCCTTCATCCTGGCAACCTCTGATCTAATTTCTCTCTCTGTAGATTTGCCTGTCCTGGACATTTCATATAAATGGAATCATACAAAAGATGGCATTTTGTGACTGACTTTTCTTTACAGTGATTATAAATCAAATGCCTGAAGAGGCTCAGCTTAGGATAGTGTTTGCTGTACAACTTTGACAACTGAACTTTTTTATAGTTGAAAATATGACTGTGTCTGTATATGTGGCATATTATCTTAGATTACCCTTACTTGGATTATTAAGAATTTTTTCTCCTAGTGTTCTTGAACTGTCTCAATATTCAGCAGGAACCCTTTGGAGACAAAGAGCAGTAAGAATGTGGAATACATATTGACAAAATGAAGGTAATTTAATACAGTAGTAGAGTCGACCACTTTCCGGTGTCGCTGCTGCTGACACTGTGTGTTAAGAAAAGTTTACTGACCTTACTTTTGGTGGAGGTGCTAGAACTACTTCTGTCTTGTGTTCAGATTTCAACAAACCTTTGCATAGGCATTATGTGGTTGTACAGATGTACTTTGTTTTGACCAGAAAATGCAAAAACTTCCTTTCTTCCCACTTTCTGAGACTCTGCAACCTTAAAGGAAGAGTGGGGTACTTTAAAGGAAAAGTGGTGGTAGCTGGGTAATGGGTAACAATGTCTACTGTATACTTCCTTTCCCAAAACAAGTCCCTGTCTGCCGTCAGCATATCCAAAATGTGAAGATCAAGTGTGGTGTTAACTCATTAGCTAATAACTAGACTTTGAGTGGTTGTGAAAGCAAAATCTCAGTGAGGGCCTGGATGTTCTAATTCTGTTAAATCAGTGAGTGCACATTCTATACAATACTGTCTTAGCCCAGAGGCAGATTTAAGGAATGGGAGATAGATTTCTATGTTTCAGAAATGAAATACACAAAGAATCAACATTTTTAATCCCATGATTCTTTACCTGAGTTTAATGTTTTGGAGAGTTTATCTTTCAGATTTTCTTTCCCTTCCATTAAACTGTTACTTTGAAAGGTCCCAGAGTTTTGGGAAAGCAAGTGGGAAAGACACTGACTTGGATTCTCCAGGATAAAGGAGTGAAGAGGACTTCTTGCCCTCATTTTATTGTTGAATAATGTCACGATAACAATTATGAAAGTGAATGGTCTACAGTAGAAGTTTTTAGATGCCTTCTCTGCAAAATAATTTGGTTTAGTCAATGCAAGGATGCCTTTGGTTAGCTGGAATGGAAGATGTGCAGGCTGGAGTGCTCTTGGCAGGTTTTCTGAGGGGAAATACAGCATTTGGAAGGGTGGGAAGCAGAAGGAATGTCTGGCAAGGGAAATGTGTGGGCAGAGCCCCAGAGGACAGAACAGGTTGTGGTGAACTTGGTGTCCACATAGACCTAATCAGTGGTCTTAGCTTTTGTGTTTTCAAAATTACCACAGTTTCTATTCTAAAACTGTCATTGCCTTGATTTTATTTTAGACATGCTACTGTGTATTTTGAAATATAAGATAACATTAAAGGAGAAATGAAATTATTTTGAGAAAGAGTTAAAAGGTTAAAATATCTTTATCTAAATAATTTTCTTTTTTTTTTTGAGACGGAGTCTTGCTCTGTCGCCCAGGCTGGAGTGCAGTGGCCCGATCTCAGCTCACTGCAAGTTCCGCCTCCCAGGTTCACGCCATTCTCCTGCCTCAGCCTCCCGAGTAGCTGGGACTACAGGTGCCCGCCACCTCGCCTGGCTAGTTTCTTGTATTTTTAGTAGAAGACGGGGTTTCACCGTGTTACCCAGGATGTTCCGTCCTGGCACCTTCGGTCCGCACCGGTCCTTCAAGCCTCCAAAGTGCTGGATATATACAGCTGAACTGCACCCACGGCGCCCTTAATAATTTCTACTAGGGAGATTTGGTACCCCAGAAGTTGTGTTTGGTTCAGAGAATAGTCTTCAGACCTAGAAAGGACTTGAGGAGTCCCAGAGAGGAGCTACATGGTCTGAACCGTTTGATTCTCACAACAGAATGGAGAAAAACAATTCCAACCATGAAGCAATGCGGATGTTCATATATTGAATAGGGTAAGGTCAGTGCCATTGTCAGAGGAAAAACTCTTGGCCATCACAGGATGGGAGAGAAAGTTGCAGTTGTAAAGAATACTCAAATGCCATTTAAGGAAATGGGTTCTTCTGCCCCTATGCTTTGGAATATTTATGGCTAAGTTCTTCATTTTTGACATCATAAATATTTCAAAGTATTCTGTTCTAAGAGCCATTTCAAACAATTGACTAGAATTTCAGAGCAATTACATGACAGTTGAAACGTTAGAATTTTTAAATTGCCCATAGTCCTATATCCCTAACAAGTATGTTCATGCTTGCATGTTCTCTTCTCATCTTTACTGTGTGCATACTTTCTTAGTAATGGCACGTAGAAACTGTTTAAGCAGGAATAATTCTCGTGATGATTTTTTCTGTTTCCTTTTTTCTTTTCAAGGTATGTACTGGGTGGAGGAGCATTATGTATGGAACTTCTCACAAAACAGGTGATTATTTTCTTATAATATTCAATTTTCACCCACAATAGAGTGTTTCGATTACGGGAAGTTAGGTTGTAAGTAGAAGGTTCTCTTAAAGAAATTTTGGTGTTTTTTTATTTATTTATTATTTTTTAATTTTCTTAGCTCCTACTTCCAAGAATGAAAAAGGTCAACCAGTAAAATGAGATTGTACTTGGTGCTGAATCTATACTAGGATTGGCATTGAACTTTATTTAAAGTTCTAATTTGCTCACGTTGGGCACTTAGAACGTCAGTTTGTTGTTTTTTGTGAGATTCTGGAAATGTTCCAATTTTACTTTTTCCCGTTTTCTCCAGACTTTTTAACACTGATCTGCTGCTGTTGAGGTACTTGCCATTTCGTTAGGCCTTCTCAAGTGGGAATCAGGAATGCTGCTGTGTTCTAGAGATGTTTTGTTCTTCCTGTAGGGCTGAAGCAGTGCCTACTCAATAGAACCGGTCATTGTGCAGAGAAATGCCACCTGACTCAAAGGCAAAGCCAGAGTGCAGCTTGGAGCAAAGAAGGTACTTTTATTAAGAATTTTAAAGAAACCAGAAGAGATGCTTTATATTTGTGAGCCTTCTTCCTGTCTTAATTCTTTTTGAGAGAATTCATTTCATTTTCATTTAGTTTGTTTTCTTCTTGTTATAAAGATGATCTATAGAAAATATAGAAGTATAAGAAAATTAATGATACTGATAATCACTTAATGATTTAGTATCTGCTTGTTTAGTCTTTGTTATATTTACTGTAGGCAAACATGGCTACAGTTGTAAATTTGTTATTGCTTTGTATACCCTAGTAAGTTAAAAGTTATATGTACTCTGAAGTTTTGCAAAATTGAGTTCATGTTATAGAATTAATTCCCGATGAATTTTTCTGTGCTAGGCACTAGTCTTTTTCATTATTTCTTTATTCATATATTGATTTATTTTTCCTTTTTTTCCCCTCTGTGCCTATACTTACCAAGTCTTTTTATTTGTTACTTTTTATTAACTCTTTCGATCCTCTTAATAACTTAAAAAGAGGGTATTACTAATATCTGCATCTTGTAGATGAGGTAACTAAAGGTAGATAACTTGTCCAGGGTCACAGGTGGCAGAGCAAGGATTAAAACCAGACAGTCTGGCAGCCCAAGGCCCAACCAAGAGGAGCTGAGAGCCTGCACGGGGCAGGAGGATGTTGGTGAGGCTGATTTCGTGTTTAGTTAACATGAAACGCAGGCTGTAACCTTAATTCTAGGACATTACCAAGAAAGCCTTCCAAAGCCATAGCTTTTTTACCATGACCATGACTTTTAGCAAGAATTTGTGGTTTAAAGACAACATGGTGCCCTGAGAAGCTTCCGTTCACTCTTACGGAGGGACTGGTAATTGAGCTAAATAGTCAAATCCTGGAGCACACAGCCTTTAGAGGAGCTTCTGACCTATTTTTGTGGTCTGGAAAGACACCAGTCTTTCCCTGCTGCCCACAGCCTCCAGTTATTCATCTTCAGAGTTTCCTCTTCTGTGATCACATTCAGATGAGAGATCTGTTTTGTTTTTTCCAGGGTAGGAGGAAGGGAGTCACCACCTATACTGAGCAGTCTAGTCTTCTGTGTATAAATGAGCAGGGTTGGGCAGCCAAATTTGGGAACCTTGTGTAATCCTGACATTCTCCAAGAGAATCCAACAGGATGTCAGGATTAGGCATGGTGGTAAAGTGGTCTCATGTTAGTTGTGTCCACAGCTCTCATCAGAAGCAGACACAGATACATTTGTAGGGAAGCATCTCTAACTTCCCAAAGCTTAAAAGCAGGCAACTACTAATTCAGTGAAATCATAGCATTCAAGTAGTCAACCCAACATATTTCAGAATTGTCAGAAACAATGAATAATACGTTTCCCAAAGACTGCAGGTTTTGGAATTATCAGATGCAGAACACAGACTTCAAATATTAGAATTGTGAGAAAATAGTTACATGTGAAATACATCTAATATATAAAAAAAGATGGACTCATAAAACTGAGTGAGCAGTGAGACCACCAGAAGTGATGAGGAAGATCTGAAAGGAAATGGATGAAATAGAACTTACAGAAATAAAATATATAGCTGGGTATGGTGGCTCACACCTGTAATCCAAGCAGTTTTTGAGAGGCTGAGGAAGGAGGGTGGCATGAGCCCAGGAGTTGGAGATGGGCCTGGACAACATGGTGAGAACTCATTTCTACAAACAATACCTGACACCACCACCAAAAAAAAAGTAATAATTAGCTGGGTATGTGGTACCTGCCTATCATCCCAGCTACTCAAGAGGCTGAGGTGGGAGGATCACTTGAGCCCAGGAGGCCGAGGCTGCAGGTTCGTGCCACTGCAGTCCAGCCTGGGTGACAGAGGGACACTCTGTCTCAGAATAAAATGAAATAAGGGAATACAAAATGTAATTGTTGAAATCAGAAACTCAGTGGATGGATTAGACACCAGAAGAAAGGAGTATTTGGTTAGATGATTATCTCCAAAAAGTAAACCCGTATGTTACACAGAGAGACACGAGGATAAATGATAGGGCAGAAGTTGGTGGGGTTGTTGGGGAGAGGGAGATCAGAATGAGGTCTAAAATATGTCTTAGTATAATCCCAGTAGGAGATATTAAAATTACACTGGAAAGTGAGAGAAATGGAAGTTTAAAGGTGACAGAAACAAGTCCACATAAATCAGTCACAACGAATGTAAATGGACTAAAGTTACCAGTTAGACAGATGGATGAAATAAAACAATATCCAGCTGTTTTAAACCATCATATTTAAAATATGAGGATGTGAAAAGATTGAAAGTTTTTATAAAGGAGAGAGAGTGATAAAGATATGCCCTGTACACATTAACCAAACAGAAGAGACGGAGCGTCAGTTTCAAACAAAATAGGATTTTGAAACAGAAAGCATTAGTAACGACTTGATGCTAAATGGCTGTTAATTAGGAAGATGTAGCAATTTTCATAGTTTTTGTACCTATCAAGATAGTCTCAAAATACAGAGGAAAAACTGATAAACCCACAGAGAGAAATTGACAAGTCTGCCATCATATTTGGAGATTTCAACATACCCTGATTACCAGAAGTAAGTTACACAGAATGCCCATATATAGATTTGAATAACCCGTGAATGGACGTGGTATAATGGACAAATACAGACCTCTGTACCCAATAGTTAGATATTCTATATTCTTCTCGAGCATCTGTGGACTGTGGGAGAAACCTTTATTATATATTAATCCGTAAAGCAAGTCAGAAGATTTAAAAACATTTGGTGCCATCCACACCATATAATTTATAATTTAAATATGAAGCAGTTACGGTTAGAAGTCAATAATGAAGAGATTAACCAAAAGCTACATGAATTTGGAAATTAAACACCCTTGTAATTCATAGCTTAAAAACTCCAATGAAATTTTAGAATGCTTAGAAATGAACCATAGTTAAAATACGAAACTTCTATCTACTCTGCTCTCTCATCTGCTACCTCCCTCTTCCTATCTGGAACATTCAGGAGGCTAATCTTTTTCAGTGAAGAACACCTCAAATACTAAAAAGTAGAAAAAGGACAGAAGTCATTCTCTGATCTTAGTTAACTCTATAAGTTACTAACAAAACCAGAAAACAAATGTTGATTGGTGGAATTTTACAATTCATGCAAACAGCCCTTAGGTCACACAGGGATTTGAAATTAAAACTGCAGAATATCGAGAGAATAGTAATAATGCAATCATTACGTAGTAGCGACTAGAGGAGAGCTCAGAGGAATGTTCATTGCCTTAAAATCCTTATGTCATTAAGAATGAAAATGAATTAAGCCTCTAACTCATTCTTAGAAAGGACAATCAAAAACCCTGAAGGAAAGCAGAATGGGGAAATGATTAAAGATATACAAGCAGAAATCAATGAGTTTAGAAGAATAGAAGGGGCTAAATCCCCAGTGCAGTAAATCCTCTGCAGAAACATTTCTTTAAACTGGGCTTTGAGTACGTTGCTCCTGATCATTGAAACTGGGAAAGGCCAACATTCTTATTTTCTCCTCGTGTTTTGGGTGGTGGGCAGTAGGGTTTGGAAGTGACTGCTTCACAATCATTTGGGAGCTTCAGGGTATATGTACTTTGTATACACAGTTTGTTTCTGAATCTTTTATTTTTGTCCTTTCTGTGAAAATATAGACTGATTGAAAAATACTTTTTCATTAATGTTAAGAAAAGCGTGTTACTACACATTTTATATCTTAGTTTTTTAGCTGCATTATGGCAGGGCTTTACTATTTTAAAGAGCTCTTAGAAGTTGAAAAAGACTATCCTGTATAAAATGGGAGAAGTGGTGGCGGGGTGTGGTGGCTCACACCTGTAATCCCAGCACTTTGGGAGGCTGAGTTGGGTGGATGACCTGAGGTCAGCAGTTTGAGACCAGCCTCGGAAACATGATGAAACCCCATCTCTACTAAAAATATCAAAAATCAGCTGGGCATGGTGGCAGATGCCTGTAATCCCAGCTGCTGGGGAGGCTGAGGCATGAAGAATTGCTTGAACCTGGGAGTCGGAGCTTGCAGTGAGACGAGATCACAACATTGCAGTCCAGCCTGGGCGACACAGTGAGACTTTGTCTCAAAAAAAAAAAAAAAAAAAAAAACCTCAGTGAGGCTGTTAGGCAAACGGAAAATGGAACTTACCTGTAACTAGAAGTTAACCAGATGCTTTCAAAAATGTAGGAGTTGACAAGGAAGCCAAGAAAAGAGGAAATCATTTATGTGATCCCTATAGTAAAGCAAACCAAAACCAAGGCAAACTTAGAAATAGAGGCGTTTTCTAAATGAAATTCAAGGCTGCCAGATTGGAAGGACAATGTCAATATAATACAGTCTCTTCCATTAATGTTTAACACTTGTCCTATACTGACCTATACATTTGCCCCACTGATGAAATGGAATCTGAACTCGGGATACTGATACTGTGGGAAGAATGATAAAATTGAACTTAATTACAGCAACAGTCTAGTCCCTGGACCAGGCCCAAGAAAACAAAATAGAAGCATACTCAACTAGGATTAACAATTGAGTTAGCAAGGGGCCAGAAGGCCTATTGTAATTGAGTGGTTTTCACTCTCTGGATTACATGGAATTACCTAGAAGCTTTTCCACACCCAGACTTTTCAGATGTTCTCATTTGTTAGGCCTGAGCAAAGGCCCAATTCTCTATTTCTGCTTGTTCATTTCCTGTAGGTAATTCTGATATATAGAAGGACTAAAGACTAAGAATAATTCCTTGAATATAGTGACAACCTCTACCTGGAATAGTCCAAATTCTAATTACCCCGATTCCTCCACCAACAGTTCCCAAACTGGTGTACTAGAAAGTCTTATGAATGATCTTCAGGGGAAAAAAAAAAAAACTCATGGCCATATAAATTCATTATTCTGAGAGGTCCCGTTGAATTTACCAAGCATTTCCCAAATTGATTTGTTAATCAATAATCGCAACGTGCTGGGATTACAGGTGTGAGCCACCATGCCTGGCCTTCCATAAGGCATTTAAAGGCACTTCCAAAGGTAGAATCAACAGACTTGCCAAAAGTCAGTGGCAAGATCTCTACAC